CCAGTAGCTTCGACACATTGGGTGGCGATTGATGATACAAATAGTGAGTTACACAAAGCAACGAACCCTGAGGCTCAAGGGGGATGGAACGAAAGCTAGCTACCAAGGGCATCGACTGAAGTGGATCGACTGAAGTCAGACTCTGACGTGTTGCACCCTGAAAACCAATGGAGACCTCGTTGCACCCTAGCAAGCCTATGGCACGAAAAGCCACTGAGCTCTCCAAACAGTTGATTTTAAAAAAATGTCTTGCTCCTAGTAGCGTCCTTGCTCCGTTCGTAGCGATGCCAGGAGCCCCTGTAGCACTAGTAAGCCCAGGAGCCCCGTTCGTAGCGTTCGAACGCTCCTAGTATTGAAACAGAATTATGGTAAAGATGCCTTTGGAAATAAGAGAGGACTAGTTGTATGAGACAGAACCGATCTGCAAAGACGGAAGAGCTGAAAAGACCGTGTCACAGAAAATGCCATCAGACCCGCGGCCGCAATAGTGCGTAAAGAGACAGAGCTGACAAATGTTGGAAAGAGCATCATCTGAGAGGAAGCATCAAAAGACGTGCTAAAGAAAATGCAAAAAAAAACATACAATCTGAATACAATATATGTCACGAAAAAAGTAAAACTAACAAGTAATACTGTATGGCACTGTATGGTACATCTTCACAATGTGCACTGCATCTTCAGTCACAAGCTTTCCCTGTGTCGTGTTTGAAAGACAAAATAGTAGGGGAGGGAATAGAATCGAAGCATTCACAAGCACCGTAGGCCTGGGAAGACCTACACACAGCCAAACAAGCAGTCGAAGCTCACTGTACTCAGCAAAATGGGAAGACCTGTATTGTGTTGGCAATGCCGTCCAGCATTTTGGAGGTAAACAAAAGAAGTAGTGATGGCCTCCAACCTACCAGCGATGGCCTCCCACCTACTAGCGATGGCCTCCAGCCTAATACCAATGGCCTCCACCCTAGTAGCGATGGCCTCCAACCAAAAAAAGACAAGACGCTATTAGAAACAATGTTCGCTACTAGTAACAAGTGCATCGCTAGTAGTAACAAGTGCCTTACTAGTAGAAACAAGAAGCTATTAGAAACAAGTGCCTTACTACTAGTAACAAGTGCCTTACTAGTAGTAACAAGAAGCTACTAATTTTACAGTAATTCTAATAGTTTCTTGTTTCCACTAGTAAGGCACTTGTTACTACTAGCGATGCACTTGTTACTAGTAGCTCCTTAGAAACAATGTTTGGCATCTTCATCGACTGAAACGGCCAACGTCCCTGCTGCACCTCTTTTGGCACCTTTTCGCCGAGCCTAGGATCAAGTGCGGACGCGGAGGTCAAGGCCCACGGGTTCTTCTTGTTCCTAGTAGCGATGCCAGGAGCCCCGAGTAGCTTCTTGTTCCCCTTTATTTTTGTCTTTTGTTGTTTCCTTTGAACCCTTTCTTCTCAAATCATAGAGCTTGCTGCCCTCCAGCCGAGCCCTGCACCATAGCAATCGAGCCCGATCTTGAGCTTGCCGTTGCTTTTCTTTTTCGTCCTAGGCAGAGAAGCTAAGAAAATTAAAGAAAAGGAATCATTGATTGGTTCCTTTCCTAGCCAAAACAAATACAACTTGAGGTATAAGATATCTGTTTGTGCAACTGAGGCCGGGACAGAGGTCCATGTGTTCAGAAAAGGACCGGGTTGAGCCTATGAGTTGCCATCTTGCAAGATAAGTTGTCAGCTCAACAGGTTTGCATCTACATGGAATGTTGGACGTACTCATTCATCAATATCGTAAACAGTCTGAATGCTCATCTAATGTTAACACTCTTTGCTGTCCTGTATTTCTTTGAGAAGGGTTTGCTGCTAATGAACATGCGTCCAATCTAAGGACGGGACAAGCTTGACAAGAGGCTCCCTGCAGCCAGCATGAGAAAAACAATATGAACGAGGGCAAAAGGAAACTCAGCTCGTTCAAGCAAGCAGCCAATGCGTATCCCCAAGAACGGCCAATGCTCATTCCCCACCCGTGTCTGGACCAAGAGCCACCCAGAATCCCGACCATGAATCCCAAGCAGCGCCGTGTATTCCCATCTAGTAACAAGTGCCTTACTAGTAGTAACAAGAAGCTACTAGTAACAGGTGCCACGCTTCTAGTAACAAGTGCCTTACTAGTAGTAACAAAGTCCTGCAACCCCATCTTGGGATCCGTAACCAGTAGTGATCGCACAATGACAACAATTGCGACAGCAATCTGGTCGAGGCCGTGTGACCAATCAGGTGGATTGTACAAGTCAGAAATAGAGCAACAACTAACAACACTGGTACTCAAGAAAACCATGGCAAGCAAGAATGACAGCAGTGCATTGTCACAATGGCAAGAGCGACAACAGGCATAATGACAACGTCCACGACTCAATGACAAGATCAACGACAAAACAATGGCAATAGCGACAAAATACAACAAACATCATGACAACATCAGACTAGGATACCCAGCAGAATGGTGGCACAGCCTGATCGATATTGACAGACTTGACAGAAAGAAAGGCGATCCTTTAGAAAGTGAGTCCTCAAATGTCCTTTGGTTTTCAAAAGAGTCCCCGAAGCAAATCAATCATGCAAAGGAAGCTTCCGAACCTAGTAGCGGAATAAATCGTAGCTACCAGTAGCTACCTCTCCACAGCCACGTCTCCAACCTACTAGCGATGGCCTCCACCCGAATAGTGTTTAGCTAACAAAAAGCAAAAAACGCAAGTCTTTCGAAAACGCACCTCTCCCGGTCTGGACCTGAAAAAACGCAATTCAAGCAAATAAGCTGCATGGCGAAAGGCAGCTGCAAAGCGGCGGGGCCTTTGTCCGGACCAATCTCAAGTGGCCTGCAAAAACAGCTGCCACAGCAAAACGAGTGTCTTGCCATCTCAGTCTGAGGAACAAAAAGAAGGTAAGTGACCCCCGTGAAAAGGCCCCATATAAAGAAGGTGTCATTGAAGGGTCCCTTGCCTTCCTTCATCTGTATCTTCTGAGATCCAAGCGGTTTTTGAGGACCGAACACCTGTCCAAGAGGAAAAGTTATTAGCTTGGAGGCCATTGCTAGTAGCTTATTGTTTCTAATAGCTTCTTGTTACTACTAGTAAGGCACTTGTTACTACTAGCGTGGCACTTGCTACTAGTAGCTTCTTGTTTCCTAGTTAAGTTTCCCTAAAAATCTAGGAACCAAATTAGTAGTGCGAGCGTTTCTTCAAGAAAGTTGCGGGGGGAGTCTCCTTGAAGAAGCACGAGCTCTCCTGCATCCTAAGTAATAGCTACTTGTAGGTACTAGCTATTCCTACCTACTGTCGCGGCCTACCAATAAATATATATATATATAGTTTGATTTAGGTTGGAGGCCATTGTGCTGGACATCTCCGCCTGAGCTCGCTCAGATTTCTCTGATTCTGATCGCAATGCCTCCGTTGCGGCAGCTTGGCAAAGTGCCGAATTGACAGATGTAATTGATGTAATTGACAGATGTAAAAATTTGAAAAACAAATATAACAATTGATATTCAATTGATGTAATTATTCAACTTGCACCAGTTCAAGTTACAAAAAAACTGAAGAGATTTGTCCCAATCGGTAATCTGCACATGTTGGCAAATGCTCCGGAGAACGCCAGCTGTGCAATGTACTTTGGCAAAGGTTGCTCTGGAAAAGTCGGTTCACCTCCGGAGTAGCTGTGCTGCAGCTTGATGAAGACCTGAAATGTGAAGGACATCGCTATTAGTAGCATCCTTGTTCCTAATAGTACGGCCAGGAGCCCCGTTCGTAGCTCCTTGTTCCTAGTAGCGATGCCAGGAGCCCCTAGTAGCGTCCTTGCTCCTAGGTTGAAGGACTTGAAAAGCTTCAACCGCGAGGTTCTGAGGCTCCAAACGAACTAGTCTGTGCTTTTCTCTTTCTCGGCCCTGGGCATTTTTCACAAGACGAAACTGACTAGTAGCTAATAGCGTCCTTGTTTCTAATAGCGTCCTTGTTACTACTAGTAAGGCACCTGTTACTACTAGCGATGCACCTGTTACTGACTAAAGAAATAGTAATAGGACTCTTGAAATTTGAAGAAAGAAAACCGACGCCTAATTAAGATTGAACGAGTTTGTGAAATTGTTTGCCATGCATCTCTGGTAGACCCAAGATCAATTGTTGAAATAATGCGATGTTTGGATGGGCAATCAGTGCATAGTGTGTTCTGTGAGACCAATGTGTGTTTTTAGTAGATGTATCCCCACACTCATTCACAAGCACGCACGCACATAGACAAATTTGATGACAGTGGTGAGATGGTAATGCCATACAGACATTGGAATTAGAATGTCCACTAAAAAGCTTCCGGGTCGCTCAAGAGACACCAGATTGCCAATCAACGGGAACACAAAGGCAAGAACAAGGAAAAGTCTATGGGTTTTAATAAGAAAAGGAAAAATGCGAGGAAGAAAGAAATAAGTAGTAGTAGAGGCCAAGCCAAGACATATTCTTTTACTCAGGTACAAAATGAGACTGCAGGTGTCCTTTCTGTGTTTGTTCTGTGCTCGTCCTGTTTCTTGTCGTTTTCTTTCGACCGTTAGACTTTAGACTTCTTATTCCATTGTTTCTTCTTTTCTTGTGTGCTTCATGTTGTTTTTGCAACATGCTCTGAAAAGGACGGTCTGCAAAGGATGAAAAGCCAAGTCATTCCAAGTCTACTCCTTTCTCTCAGGGGCAAACGCCTTTCGCTTTGACGCCTTTCATTTGGGCGGCTGCGGCTTCGGCTGCGGCTTCGGCGGCTTCTGCGACTCTGGCTTTCTGCTTTCTTTGCTTCAGCTTTTCGGCTTTCTACCTTTTTGGGCCTCACTTGTATATCTCTCAAACAGGCCTTTCAACTTGCAATGCCGTTGAAATCTACACATGAATCCTTCAGGAACTATTAAAGTAACTATTAGCTGAGTTGGGTATGCCGCTATGATCCGCTATGCCTTTTGCTCTCGTGCAACGCTCCTGCAACATTCTTCCTAAAGGATGATGAAATTGAGTCTTGTAATGGTGGCTAGGCCAACTACAAGCAAGGCAAAGTACAGCACCATGATGGGCTCCACGACCCCAAGGGCTCGCCCATTGCTCCACTTGAGGAGTGCCTTGGAAAGGGTTTCTCTGGAGCGGTTGCGGAGCTGAACATATTCCACATCCTCCTCTTGTTTTAATGGGCTCTTTGACAACGCGAACTCTGCTCGACTCCTCAAGATGCTCTGTTGCCGCTGCACCTCACCATTTGCAAAGTGCGCATAGAGGAGAGTGTGGACTGTGGGCGACACCATCACAAGCCCAAGTGTGAGAGGAAGTATCGGATCCGAGGATGCTAACGCAGCGAGGCCTAGTGCCTGCTGCTTCTGAGAGAGAAATGCAAGACGAGAAATGCATGGTGGCAAAGCAATGGGCAAAAGGATTAGCAGCAAAGCTGCTACGAGAAGAAGCTCCGTGAGCGAAACCAGGAACTCCACGGGTTTGACCAGAATGTGCCAACGAGCGTCGGACAATTCCAGGGCAAATTCGCTACAATTCGCGACATTCTCAAAATACTTGGTGGCCTGTTGCAAGGTCACCGAGCTCACTTCTCGACCGACCGGCCAGGGAGGCTGGTGCTCTCGTAGGAAACGCAAGGCTGCGTTCCTTTGTTTGATAGTTAGGGTCGCTGCATGAAGCACTGTGCTCATGTCATACAACCTTTCGAAGCAAAGCCACGTCAAAAGCATCTCAGCCGAAATGGCCAGCCCACGGTCAATGGAGTCTGGGAATCCATAGGCTTTCACCACTTCAACTGCTTCAGACTTGTAAAAGTGGCCCAAGGAACTCGTACAAATCCATCTCAAATGAAACAAGAAAACAATCGCCAAAAAGCAACTGCAAATGCTCACCACTGTGAGTTCCAACATAGATGAGTGGTTCACATGCATGACCCCTGCATTCAAGAGCTGTCGTTGAAATCGATCACTGAAAGTCACCGAAGAGGGCGAGGGCAAGGCAGGCGGCTTCGGTTCCTCGACTTCGCTCTCTTCAAACCTCTCATTTTTGGGCTCAAACTTCTCGTTATGTTCTTCCTTCTCTGCCTTCTCCTGACTGTCCTCATCTTTTGCCCTGTCATCTTTTTGTGGGTCTTCTTCGCCTTTGCTTTCACCTTTGGATTCTTGTTGTCCGTGCTGGTCCCTTTTGCTTTCTGCTTTGCCTTTCTCATTCCCTGAGCTTAAATCTCCTCTGCGTCGGCGCCTGCGCTTGGCCTTGTTTGGGGCAGCAGTGCTGCGGGTGGTGCACTGCGCTCTTGCCCATCGTGGCCCGTGTTGTACACCGAAAATGGCTGTCACAGTGCTTGCAGCATCCACAGGATCCATCACCGTTTCTCCCGTATCATCACAAACTCGACCCTCTTCTCCGATGCCAGCCATGGTGCTGACCAGCCAGGCATAAGCCAAGTAGAGAAAATCAAGCAAGAATAAATCCGAATAACGACCTGCGTAAATGAGCCAAAAATGCAGACCACCAAGAGACAGCGCTCTTGCGATTGTCTCGATCGATCCCACGTGTTTGGCTTTCATGGCACACGAGTCTCTGACTTTCAAGCGGCATTCTTCATCGTCATCTGTCAGGTACTCCTCGTCAAACGCATCCTCGCAGGACGAAAAAGAACGCATTTCTTGGGCGAACGAAAGAAAAGTGCTGTCTCAACTTAAGGATGGAGAGTTTCCCATGTTGAGCCTGGGGGCCAGAAGTAAGACTGGATGCATTCTTTGTGTTTCTTGTGCCAACGCTACTAGGTTGGAGGCCATCGCTCTTAGGTTGGAGGTCAGAGTACATTCAGAAGTTCATACCGTGAAGGTTCACTCGGGGCGCTCGCACACAAGTTCCGTTCAAATCTCGGTGCACAAGGATTTGTTTCCTTGTTGTGGAAAAGGTCACAGAAAGTACTTGGGCACAGGATTCAAACCTAAACCACTCTCATGGTTCTAGCTGTCTTGTATATTTTCTTGTGGCTACCACACTGAGATGTTCAAGAGAAGATGCGCTTTTATGAGAACACAAAGTTCGCAATTCCTCGGTATGAAAAGGTCATCAGAATGAAGAAATGCCAAGCATGAAGGCAGAATTCTTGACCTCCGCCTGGAGGTTGACATGTTAGCTACAAAGACTCTGTGGCCTCTTGAGGCAAAATGTGATGATTCAACCTAGTAGCGATGGCCTCCAACCTAATAGCGATGGCCTTCACATGTGGTGCTTCTAAAGGGGCTCAGTTTCAAGTCAGCAGAAGCTCCTGGATTGGGCAGAATGGTGCAGGGTTGTCTCTACAAGACATGCTCTTCTCACATCACTTTTGTCATCAGCATGGTCTTGCCACATGTGCCATGCTTGCATCGAACTGTGCAGACAGCATCAGTATCTTTTGCAAGTGTCTTGCTAAACTGTTTGTACTATTCTCTTGGTTGGACTTTCTTACTTGGTTTCTTCTCACTTTGCCTCTAGCCTTCGGATGTGTATTTTTCGTTACATCTTTCCCAGTGACAGCCTCCAAATCCGGTCGCGCACACGCTCATTTCGCCGTGGCCCTTTGGTCGCGAAAGCGGCCCGCGGACCAGGCCACCCTTATCGTATACCGTAAGCCCTTGCCGCGGTGAGTTTGAGTAGGAGCCCCGTTCTTTGCGTCCTTGCTCCTAGCAGCACAGCCAGGAGCCCCTAGTAGCGTCCTTGCCCCTAGTGTGGCCAAACCAAGTCAAGGAAGTCACCTTGGCAGGAAAGTTGTGCGTTGCGGCCGTAAGGTTTGGCATGTTCAATCTTGAGCGTGATGTCTTTTTCAATACATATGTGAATCAGACGCACGTTGCAAATTGTAGAGCGAGGGTTCCATGGCATAGCAACTTGTGATACCCCGTCATGGGTTGGCAGGTCCCTTTCAGGGTTGGAGCAAAACAGTCGCAGCCTAGTGAGACTGTAGATTACGTGAAAATGATTGGCATGACAAAAGTGCTGTGTGGCCTGTTTCATGGCAAACAGTTGCCAGATTGCTACTAGGGGCTCCTGGCCCTACTACTAGTAACAAGAAGCTACTAGGGGCTCCTGGCATCGCTACTAGGAGCAAGGACGCTACTAGGGGCTCCTGGCCCAATTTATTTGTTTTGTCCAATTTGCCCTCTGTCTTGAGCCTCAGTCTTTGGGAATCGCTGAGAGCCATGTTCTGTTTTCGTTTGCAAATGCAACATGCGAGTGGGTACCAGCGAGTCTGTTTTGAACTCGCAAGGGCATTTCTATTAGCAGCTAGAAGCGGTTGGAGGCCATCGCCACACTAGTCTTTGCTTTTGAATTGGAAGTGGAAGGAAACATCCGTGCGCAATAGTGTAACAGTGTCTCTAATTGTGCTTTATGGCGGCGGTGTCGGTAGTGGAAAATGCTGCAACTGCCACAAAATGTGAAACTCCAGTTTTACAAGACACATCTTCCGTGCGAGAGCTCCTCAAACTTAAATATGGGTTATTTCTCAGAAGCTCCAGATTCACCATCATAAAACTTGCCCTATGTCCTACACATGCCACTATCAGTGGACTTAGGACGATAAAAACACAAAGATTCTACTGCAAACATAGGCCATCGCAAGTAGGTTGGAGGCCATCGCTACTAGGTAGCTATTTGCTAGTAGTAGCGATGGCCTCCAACCGAATAGCAATGGCCTCTTAGTAGCTTCTTGTTCCTACTCGGCACCACACCAAGAGCACACAGCGCACTGCACCATCCGTTTGATACCAATGACGACTTGTGTGTGTGTGTGCGCCATCTTACTGCGCCTTTCGCTTTTCGGCAGGTGAAGATTTCACTCTTGATCAAAAATAGAGGGAAAAAGAAAACACAAAAATACACAAAGGAACTCTTCGCTTTCGCTACTCTGCTCCTTCTCAGGTGGGATTCTTACGCAAATGAGCAGCCATGATGCATAGATGCCAAGCAGTGCCTTGAAGGAATAGCTCAGCACCTCTGTAAAGGATGGACAGCTTTTGCTCCTGTGTGGAACCTTCTGATATGGCAATTGCTTTCTTTGACGGCTGGGGTCAAAATCTGCATCTGCAAGTCGTTGTGGTGAAAAGGCCCCAGGCAAAAAGTCGGCCATTGAGATTGGAACGTCGAGCCAGCCAAAGGCCCTTAAGCGAAAGGACACGTAAATGATGAGGCCAAAGACAAAAATGATGGTCGCCAGCAGAATCGAACAAGTGCAATAGTTCCGCATGAATGAGTCAAAGCCTTGCGAGTTGAGCAAGAGTTCCATAGAGCGCTGGGATGTTGCATTCTGTGAGCGAGTGTTTGCATTGAGACACATGACTTTGATTTGGTAGAAAGTCAGCCAATTGTACGGGATATCCCCAATCACGTCCTGATTTTTGGGCTTGAGCTCCGGAGGAATTAAACTCCGCAAGACATCCAAGCCATCTTCATTCTTCTCTTTCTTCTCATCCTTCCCATTCTCAGCTTCGTCTTTTCTCGTATCCTTCCTCTCATTCTCTGATTCTTCTTCTTCTTCTTTCTCTATTTCTTCTCTTCCCTGCGTGCCTGCTTGCTCTGTTTCCCTGACAGCATTGTCCTTGGTGTTGGTCTTAGGCCAATGCGGCAGGTGTCGGGCCACTGCATAAAGTCGCAGGCGAAGTTCGGCAAGGCCGCCACTAAGAGCTGGATCTCGCAAGAGCACTTCTGCCTTCTCTACAGATCCTCGTGACACTGCCAACTCCAAGGGTGTCAATCCACAAATGGAGTAGAAGATAGAGAACCAAGGTCTATTTGTTCTCTCAAGGTCCATTTGCTCCATCTCCTTCCTTAGCACGTGACCCAGAAGGACCACCCTCACCCGTTCCATATGCACCATAGTAGCTTCTTGTTACTAGTAGTAAGGCACTTGTTTCTACTAGCGATGCACTTGTTCCTAGTAGCTTCTTGTTACTACTAGCGATGCACTTGTTCGTAGTAGCTTCTTGTTACTAGTAGTACTTCCTATCTTGTTCTCTCCTCAAACAAACCTCGTTTCTATGCAACTGAATTCTGCTCTTTCTCGCATGATGCTCTGCTAGCTTCAGCGCTGTCAAATTCTGTACACGCTTCCACATTACCTTGTGTTCTGTTTGGGAAACGCTTACATCAACACCTGTTATGAAAAGCATGGACCTCACTTGAAACAAACCCCGAATCTTGCGCATAGGAAACCTGCGTCCTGAGTCCATTCCAGGCTACAAAAAGTATAAAAATGTATTGAGTAGTCTCATGTAGTTTCCAAGGTTTGGCAGGCATACCAGAACGAACTTTTCTGCTGCTTCTGCTGCCGAGTTCGATCGAAACCCTAGGGCCCTCGGAACAGACTGCTGTTGAAAGTCCTGAATGTTTTCAGCACTCAATACAAAGTAAGTAATTACCCCGTACTACTAGCTGTAATGGTTTCTTACAGCTAGGGGTCTGCCAGCGAACAAAACTCAGCGACTGCCGCCCACACATTGGCTGCCAGGGCACTCGGCACACTCACGCGACTCGACAAAGGTTTTATCTTTTCTCCCGACTGGCTCATCTGAGCGCCCATCTACCTGTTTGGTCCACAGTCCACTCTCAACATGCAGGAACTGAGCTTGCCAAACATGAACTCGAAATGAATCAGTTTGATCAACAGTACTTCCATTCCACTGATTTCAGATTTCGAGATCTTCTCTTGTTTGAGATGCCAAGAAAAGCAGGGATCAACTTTTCGAGGCTTGTTTATGTGTTGAGGATTCATGAATGCAATAGAAGCCTGATTGTCAACGGCAGGGCGGAACGTTGCAGTGATTGTAGTATGCGTGAGGAACAGGATGGCAACAATTCTTGCCATGGCATGTGTAAACTCGCACCAGGCGGTACCATGGAATGAAAACACACTGCGCCACAAACGGCTGCAAACAGAAAAAGTGGGTCTTGAATCACTCTCAACGTGAAGGCGTGATCAATTGTGATCATGGTTAGCAAACTGTGTATGGCCAGGAGCCCCTAGTAGCGTCCTTGCTCCTAGTAGTCAGGCCAGGAGCCCCTAGTAGTGTCTTTGCTTCTGTTTTATGCATTTTAGACGCAAAGAAGAAAGACTTCAATTGAACTCATGGCCCACCTCTGAACATCCTCGGAACGGAATTGTTTGATTTGTCGCTCTCATGACGAATGTGTTCAACTGCAGTTCCCTGGGCTTGCTGCTTTCTTCTCCTTCTTGTCTTTCTTGGGTGCAGGGAGCACTTCCTTTGCACTCTTCTTGTCCGCTTTTTTGGGTGATTGTGCTTGGCGACCTCATGCGGACTCATAAGTCTCACACGAATCCAACCACGAATCCAACGCTCTTGGCTCATGGCGCAGTAATTCCTCATCATCCAGCAGTTCCCAGTCATCCAACTCCTTTCACAACAGAAAGAACAGCGCCAAAAGCAGAGACCTCAGATATGGTTTTGAACATTGAAGATGTAGACTCTTGTTAGACTGTATAGCTTCTTGTTCCTAGTAGCTACTTGCTCCTAGTAGATCCTAGTAGTAAGGCCAGGAGCCCCTAGTTCCTACTGGCGATGCCCTTTGCTCCTAGTAGCGTCCTTGCTCCTAGTAGTTGGGTTTCTGTAGACAAAATATACACCTGAAGACCAAAGATGTATCTCGACGGCAGCGAGTCGCCACCTCAGTGTTTTCTTTGATGTCCTTCTTAGGCTTTTCCTTGAAGAGCCTGGGACTATGTGACCAACACGTCAGCGCGGTGCTAATCTTCTTCAGACCCTTCTCTGCCTCTGCCGCGTACGCCTGCTACTACTCCTGTCCTCCTACTCCAGACTCCTACTGCTACTCCTTTCTCCTCCTACTTCAGACTCCTCCTTTGACTTCCTTCTTGAGTCTTTCCTCCTACTCCTTCTTCTATCCTGTCGGTCTTTTCTCGTTTTGTCCAAAATAACTTTGTTACTCCAACGGGTTCAAGTCTTGGCTGGTGACCCTTTCTTTGGGGCTTTTGCTTTATCTTTTTCGTCCTGAAATGATGCGTCTTGCAGCAAAACAAGAGTTACGGAGTCAACTTGAATCCTTGGTCTTTTTCTTGACTCGTCTGTTCTTCTCTTCTGACCTGACTGGTACTCAGCAAAATCTTTAGCCAAAATTGATCTCACTGTCAGACGCTGAGGTGCCGACGAGCTTGAAGAGCGTTGCTTGAGCCCCATGTGAATAGCAAGGGAAACTCAAGGTTCTGTGAATTGCACTTCTACAGCTGCTGCTCACTGCAATGGCAGGCGCTGCTTCATGGGTCATGTAGTATTGGCAAACACTAAGTATTGGCATGACAAACCTGTATGCGTGTATGCGTGTATGCGTGACATGCTTGACATTCTGTGGCTATCAGGAGCTTCGAATAAAACGCACAAAACACCTGCTCAACTTCGAGTTCTAAGGCAAACACCCAAGTAACGCCACGCAGAGACTCAGTCGACTGCAGTTTGGCACAAGCGAAGTGGACGATTGAAAAGGACTTTAAACATACGTTAAGCGAATCTTGAGCAGATTTGAGGTGAGAGCGGATTGAGGTCGAGAAAAGGACGTGCGCCTTGTGTGCGCGACACGGACGCAACACACGTGTGTCGCGTGTGACACACCAAGAACTATGACGACCATTAAACAAAAGGAAGGACATTGTTACTTTGTTCTATTGTTTCTGTTTCTTTGTATGTTCTTTTCAAGGCGGGGGTAGGCCACTAAGTAGCTAGCTTAAGTAAGTATAGCTAAGTAAGCAGTCACTAAGCTTTTTCCGAAGCTGCTGGGTAACCCGACCCTGGAAAGTTCAGCTCCCCCAGGGCGGGGAGGAAGCTTCTTTGAAGCGCTTGCACAATTTAGGTGGTTCTTGCATTTTTAGGGAAACTACTAGCGATGGCCTCCAACCTACTAGCTATGGCCTCGACCCTAAGAGCGATGGCCTCCAACCTAATAGGAATGGCCTCCAACCTAGAAGCGATTTGGTTCCCAAATAAAATCTCTTGCAACTCGTTTTCCTCGCAATAAAAGGTCTAAGAGTCTAAGAAAAGACGGAAAGAAAACGAATCCACACACTAAAGATCTCATGCAACACCTTCAAGATCTGCATTACGGGATGCTACAAGCTTCTTGGCCCTTGGCTGTCCCCTCACCCGCGGATCAGCATCAGATCCCTTGAGGCTGCAACGCTTGAGTGTGATGAAGAGCATCACATGGTGAATCAAAACATATACACACTAGCTTCTAGCTTAATTTATTTTAAGCTTCTGTTGTTTCTAATAGCTCCTTTGTTACTACTAGTAAGGCACCTGTTACTACTAGCGTGGCACTTGTTCCTAGTAGCTTCTATTGTTTCTACGTTCGCTTCTTTGTTACTATATACTAGTAAGGCACTTGTTACTAGTAGCGATGCACTTGCTCCTAGTAGCTTCTTGTTGTCACTTAAATGTTTTTTTTCAAGCTTTACAAGATGCCCAATTGTGCGACGGGCAACGCTGATCAAATGATTTCACGGCTGCCTGTCGTCGCTGCCGCATCTTGGACTTCAACAGCACCTTAGCAGGTTTCCCCAACAGCGATTTAGCAGTCTTGAAGCTCGGTTTATGTTCAATTTGCATCGCTAGTAGTAACAAGTGCCACGCTAGTAGTAACAGGTGCCTTACTAGTAGTAACAAGAAGCTAGTAGAAACAATAGAAGCTACTAGTAACAAGTGGCTGCAGTGTCGGCCACGCACCCACCCGAATCCACCGACAAATCCTGATTGGCTGCTTGAATCGACCAGCAACTTAAGCACTCCAACCTAATGATTGCGATGGCCTCCAACCCAGAAACGATGGCCTCCAACCTTATGTTTGCTTAAGTTGTTTAGCCATTTCTGCTTCCACCAACGCCTTCAGCAGCTGCTTGTCTACAGAATGTGCACAAATGTCCGGAATTCCTTTAGTTTGGAGTGCCTCCACAGGAACCCCCACTGAAACTGCAGACTTGACTTGAGAAACCAATGGAATCGAATAAGTCCCTGGAGGTACACTTTAGGCCCATGAGGATGCACTACATTAGCAAGCTAAGCACCGGCAGAATGAAGGGGAAAGCAGAAACCCACCACGCAACGGCTCCAAAATCGGAAAGCGTAAAAGTCAAAGAAAATAGGACATTTGTTACTAGAAGCGATGCACTTGTTCCTAGTAGCATTTTGTTACTACTAGTAAGGCACTTGTTACTACTAGCGATGCACTTGTTACTACTAGGGTGGAGTCAAAGAAAATAAGGGAAATGTCTGCCTTTCGTCTTCACCAAGAACACTCGGCACAAAGAGTGTATCGAAAGGGGCGTCTAGCTTTAACCAACGCATCTGGCACTGTCAGCAAAATGAAGGCAAAGCACTTTTGCGCCAAAATCGCTTAGTTTCCCTGAAAATCTAGGAACTAAATCGCTTCTAGGTTGGAGGCCATCGTTATTAGGAACAAGAAGCTACTAGGGGCTCCTGGCATCGCTACTAGGAGCAAGAACGCTACGTTCGGGGCTCCTGGCCGTACTACTAGGAGCAAGAAGCTTCTA